AAAAAAGGCAAGTGTTTCCAACGCTTTGCTAATAAGACGACACGGTGGCGGCACCTACCCGTCACCTTGCGTTCTACACCTTAGCGCCTCCAACACGGGCGCGCACGCCGCGCGCATCGTTTCCCAAGATTACTGCCAGATAGCGCTGATATCTCACGTGTGACGTGACTCGATGCGCTCGCTCACCTCCACTGCACGCTCGAGGCACTCTGACGCAGCGCTTCCAGAATAACATTCACCGATGTTTTTGCGCAGAACATCAAATAAACGCTTTGTTCAATCTCTCCAGACGCAAGACTATCGTCTTTCGACGACATTTGCAGTGTAACATGCAGATACGGGGCCAATTTTTTATTCATGGCGATTAAGATGCAGCAACACTGCTGTGTTCGCTTTTGCAATCAACGTGGAGCGACCGATAGTGAAAGAAAGAAGGTACAGCCGCCCAAATCTCCAGCTATTGTATGCAGTGGTGACTTTTCTGTCTGTCGGAGCCATATGATGGAACGAAGTTGCTAACAATATTTGGTGGCCATGTGATTGCCCTTTTGGGTGACTATGTATATTTAATAAGAGACAGATTTTTCGTTGACGTTCGGAGCGAATCGGAGAAACGTTTATCTTACGCAAAAGCTGTTCAGCGAGATCAACCACCTAGCGCTGATCAAAGAATATGTTAAATTTATTTTAATATCTAATAAATATGAGCTGTGGCGTGTGAAGCTTGCACTGAACAAGCATTTCTGCACATGCGCTTTACTGCACAACAAGAACGAGATTGGTGCGATGGCGTCGTGTTTTCTTTTTTTTTTTGTTACTTTGATTGCATGCAATACAATTTATTGCCAGGATTTGTTATCACAAACAAGCTCTATTTAACTTCCCCTATAGTGTGAAAGACACGGCGCCTCCCTACAAAGCTCCCCATAAATTTGATGCTTGATGAACGAGAAAGGAAAAAAATCACGGCATATCGAGGGAGTGAATGATGAGTGGTGCGAAGCGTCCGTCCGTGTCACAAGGATATTGGCCACCGTGTTTTTATTAATTATCATTTCTTTTGCGGATCAATGAGCGTCTTTTGAGCGAGTAAAAAGGAATTATTGACTAGCTAGTGACTGTCTGTACCGAGGACACACGGACGGATAGAAGCACGGCTGGACGGAAGCACTGTAGGACTGACGGACGGGCGAACGGACGGGCGGGCGCATGGACGATTGGACACAGGGGCGGACGGACCGACACTTCGCCCCACTCATCCTCATTCACTCCGTGGATATGCTGTGAAAACCACTAACGCCATCTAGTTATATTATTCCCAAGAACCTATACCCACAGTGATATCTATTCAGCCATAACTAGAGTCATAAACGTCATAAACTAGAGGTGGCTACATACATACATACGGTGGAGAAAACGACCCACGGCATAAGGAGCTTCGCCCCTAAAAAAACACGCAAAATATCTAAGTGTACGATGTTATGTATCTACTAATTGCACTCCTGGGCGGATGAAGTGAGCAAGATTAGCACAACAATGCTACTTCAGAAGATCTTGTGTGGAGGCTTCGTGTGCGTCGTTCTTGTCCGTCTTCGCTGTGAACTACAGCAGCGCTACGGCTGTGCTATTTATGATGTTGCTTCGCCGCTTTTGCATTGCGTCAACGACGAGTCGCAGCACGTCAGTGAATAAGTTACGCTCTCACTCGCCGACTGAAAGGATAGTGCGTTACTGCCGCAGCGTAAAGCGACGAGCACAGCAAGTGCAATCGAGTGTTATGCGATCGTTCGTCAGTCCACTTTATTGGGATAAGGAAATACGCAAATGGAAGGATCAGTGTTCATATGAATGAAAGGCGATGGTTCCACATAATCACGATATGTAATTACCTTTGATTTCTTCATCGCGGTCAGAACGTGTTAACACAGATCTACTGCGACGGGACACCTCACTAGACAGGCACTACCGCTTGCGGCTGCATACTCACGTCGCGCAGTAAACGTCCGAGCAATTTCGCATAAGAAGACATTCGAGGTGCGATGAGACGGCTGTATTTCAATACTCAATTTCGATTTCTCTGAAGCGCGTGTTGACTCATCAACCAGTCCAGCCGGTGTGTGTATATGTGAACACCAGAAAGAGAAATTCGGTTAGCGACCCCACAACAACTGCAAGAACAACTGGCGTGCCTCTGATATTTTTCTCTGTCCACTGCAGACCTCTGTGGTCCTTTGTGCATTGCGGAACAAATGTAATTAAAGTGCGGGAAACACAACAGTCACCCCGTATCGCTTTCCAGCGTTTTCTAAGACTGTGCGGCTTACGTATACATGGAATAGCCGCAGTATTCCTAGTTTCTTCACGGGTGGAGGACGTTCGTATTCGTTTTTTTTTTTGCAATGTTATTGCGTTGTTCCCAAACCAATGCAATATAAATATATAAGCATATTACCGCTCCTCCTTGAGGTGATCAATTTGCAGCTGGAAACTATACTGCACGGGTAATGTGCGGAAGTTTTATTCATTTCTTCTGTTTCCTTCAATGCCGAGCGTAAGCATGACCAACGCTGAGCATGACATCATTATTTCTCATTGAAGAATATTTGCATGCGCCGACGCGAAATTCAACACCTGTTTCACTGAATGCGAAATATAGCGCCATCAAACATGCTGCGCAGTGACGAAGCTTTTATTAAGAAACCGCAAATTATCCGAGCAAGGTATACCTCGCAAGCGGATTCTAGTTCGATTCCTTCGTCTTTAAACACGTTTAGAATGTGGTTCCTGCTTTTTTTTTCTTTTTTTTACAACGTGTAAACTTTCTATAAAAATCAGATCATTCTGCAACACGTTTTCTCAGCAGTTATCCGTTAACGGCCCGATTGCACCACGTAGGTAATAAATGCCACTGGCCTCGAGATCTTGAAGTGGCGCCCTGTCGCGTGTGACGTCAGTTTGTGGGCTCCACCACAGAGCTCCACGTAGTATATAAGTGTTCTGTGGCTCCACTCTCAGCCGCGCTGTAGAAACCGCCGATTCTGAGCGCGGATCGTCTGCTTCTGGTGGGAACAGCCTCGCGAAGGTCAACTGACGGCTACAACGAATGTTTTCGAGGGCAATTATGAGTTTGTTTTAGTTGCAGCCCAAACGGCAGGAACAAGAAACCTCCCAGATGGCCAAGGAGCACGCCGATGCCGCCGACCGCATTGCTGGTCAGAAAGTGAAACTATGTGCGAGAGTTCTCACTGGCCATCTGCAGTTTCCGCCGTACGATACTATAATTAGTTCGGGTGTTTCGAAATTTCAATGAGCGCGCCTTTCTCCAGCATCTACAAGCATGTAGATACAGCAAGCGAAGCGTCGCGGTGTCTCATTGACGGCGCGGTGGTGTATACGACGCAGGCCACGTTGTTGAATGTGCGCAGCCGGTGCCGCCAATGGGGATCGCATTACCGTCGCGGCTATGTTCCTGCGAACACGTGGACTTGTGAACCTGCCGCACACAACGTCCCCGTGGTGATAGGATGCTGCGCAATGGTGAAGTACTGCTCTGTGCCTCAGTGAGCGTCGGCCGTGCCAGCTCTCACAACAATCCTAAAGAGAAGGGCACGCCGGCCCTTTTTCGTATAGATATTTTTTTTCTGCAGTCCAACGATAGTGACAGTGCATGACTTCTGCCACTTTGGCATTCGCAAACAGCACACGAGACAATTACTGCAGAGCAGCTCTTTAAATTGCTGCTTAGGCAGTCAATCGAGCATTGATGGCATCCAATAGAAAGGCAAAGCAGAATCAAATTACCAAATTTGAGATAATCGTGCTTGGATTGCAGTTATGGGTGTAGACAAGGCGCAAGCCCGTGTTGTATTGCAGTAAGAGGAGTCGTACGTGCTGGTGTGACTCGGGAAGGGGGCAAGTTCCGCCTTAATGTAACCGCTGGTCGATGCAAATGACTGCAGTTTGTTTCAGTATAATGTTTGTTCAGTGAGAGCGACATATTGTCGCTGATTGTATACATACTACGCACAGGGCCACAAAGATGACGTGACAACCGTTAGCGAATGTGCACTAAACAGCGACAGCAGGTCTTACTTATGAATTTACGGTAAGCATTGCGCTAGACGCGCACTTGTAACTCTTTTGTACTAACTACTAATTAATAACTTTTTCAAAAACCCCACCTTTCCTAGCAGACGGATGCAGTGCGCGCTTTCTTCAACGAGGCGACGACGACACGAGCACAGTTCAGTTTGGTTAGTCGTTGTTAACGTCGGGTCTTACAGTATTGAGCAACGAGGAAATCGATTCGGGGCATGTCAGATGCTTCACGCACCGGAGGGTCGAAATCAAAAGCGATGCTTCTGCGCTCAGATAGTATAGCTGCAATCGCCGCTTAACTTGTCACTGCTGAATTCAGAATATTGCTGGCACAGCTTAATCCCGCGTCGGATGACATCGCCAACCAGGGGCTCCGCGAGTATGTCTGAAGTATGGGGGCGAGGTTTGTGGGCAGGGATATACATATAAAAACTTGAAGGGGCATACGTATCTCTGTTTTTGCTAAGGCGAGAAAAGGAGGGGGAGGCAGTCGAAACAGCTCTTAGTGGGGGGGGGGGGGGGGACATGCCCCCCTGCCAGTTCCCCCTTCGGTTTCGGAGCCCCTGTCGCCAACTTGCTCTTCGCGCGTCAGAAGAGGCACGTCAGCAATGTATACACCACAGAACACCTACATAATGTTTACACATTCACCAGCCCTCGCGGGATGTAGCAAACGATAGGTCTATTCGATTCAGCCTAGGTTCTCTGCACCTTCTGCACTTTTTCACGGTGCGCCGCACCTAGGTCCTCGATTCCCGAAGGTGCAGTGGTGCCCCCTGCACCAACGTCCTCGATTGTGGCGGGTGCAGGTAAGGTGCTGCCGCGGTGCCGCGAACTCTTGAACCTCCCATCGCGAGGGTACCGCATTTTGGGTGCAGCCACACAACCTGCTCACCGCGCATGCTTGGCAGACAGCAGACGACAACGCGACCAGCAGACGACAAATATGCCGGTGGTCGCGGACATCGATGGTGTCCAGACCGAAATTTTTCCCATCGTGGACGAGTTTGGAGTTATCGTCTTTGACGGCGACGCCGAACTCTACACTACCACAGGTAATTTTGGAAAAGCATGCTGGACCATTTGTCCGCTCACTGGCCCGACGGGGACATTTCTTCATTACCCTTTGTTTTTTTGTGGTTGTTTTGCCTTTTTCAGATGGGAAAGTGCGGGTAGTTTGTGCGTCGGGCCGTCTTGCCAATGCTGACCCGACAAACGAGCATGCCATGACGGCTATGCCTACAACGCAGCCAACACCGCCAAACAATGCTGAGCCGACGACGCAGGCGTCCGCTGCTGCAGCTGCTGCGCTTTCTCCGGGTCGAAAGCAGACGAAAGGCTTGCACTGCACCTCAACATTCGATTGACATTTTAGCGGTGGCGCTGCTGATGCATTGCATTTGCACCCCAAAACGGGTGCCGAGAAACCTACGACACTGCTGCACCAGGTGTCGGCACCGGCTGCACCTTTTTGTATACGGTTCCGTGCATTTTTCCTGAATCAAATAGAACACTCGTGACCTCATCGGCGATGGATTCTAGTGACGTCATCCAATACCCACCATGGATGGCGGAGCAGCTTCCTGTCTAGATTTCTATTCTGCCTCTTCGTTTATTGCTTAATTAAAATTATTCACGAGTGTCTGGGTAAGATGAACAACACTAGCTTTTGCAGGACTTCCAATACTATTTGAAAACTGCATTATCTCGGTATAGCCAAAAACGCACCGAAGTTCCCCTTTAAGGGAACAGGGTAAGTAAGCCCTACACGCTTTGTACCTTTTTCTCGTAACCATGAGAGCTACCGTAATCACTTTATTGTCATTGTGATCATGAGCCATTCCTCTTCTTACTTAAGAAGATTTAGCACTGAAAAATGTAATGCTCATTCTTTGTATTTTCTTTATTCCAGGTGCCTAATTATAGCACTCGATAATAGCTATTAGATGTCATGTTGCAGAAGAGCACTTACTCACACAACAATAATTCTGCTTCAGTGCTTTCTCTATTACGTTATCTAAATACTGGCTGAAAACTATAATTATAGATATTGTGGTTGCTGAGAAAAATGAACACAAGTTTAAAACAAGCATGTTTTGAGATAATCGTATTTAAAGTTCAACATCTATATTATTTCAAAAGTGCGATGAGATAACAGCAAACTGACGAACCCGTTCAATAGGCACCAGCCAGATACTCATTACCAATATTTTTATTCTTTTTGTGTTGAAACGTCTTGCCTGGCAAGCCTCATTTGTCACCTGCACAGTACTGTCGACGCAGTTCGAGGGTGCGAAGGCCCTGCACAGTGCAGTGCCCTGGCAAAATTCCAAAATAGTTAAGCACATTCACACGGTCTTATATTGCCAAGATTGAAAGAACACCGCATCAAGAGTGCATATTTAGTGTTTCACGCCCAAGAAAAAAAAGTTTCTTTTGGAACGCACTCCCACACGACAATCCAATGACTAGTTATGGTTTTCAGTGTTCTCATGTAGACATTTAGCGAGTAATTCTGGACGAGCTAGTTTCAGATAATTTGGCTTAACAGCACCACTAACAGATGCTGGAAGATGTTCTTTATGAAAGAATGGTCCACCACTAAACTTGACTGTTAAATTTACACCATGTTCCAGCGTCCTTGGAGCAAAGGCCGCGAGATTGATTGGTATCCTTTGATGCCTTGTGAAAATATGTGGGCCAGACAGCTTTTCACATATGTCCTCCAAGCTGGCTCTATATGTCCTCCAAGATGGCCCAACAATAATACTTTTGGTGCTTGCCAATGATAACACCCCAAGACATCCCCGACCAGATATAGATTTCCGAACAGAAAGCTTGATGTCTCTGCTTTCTTTCGTTTTCGCAGTTCTGGGCCCACAATTTTCTAAATGCCCCCAAATGCTGTTAAGCTTGCAAACTCCTAATGGATATGATGTTTGAACTGCAAGGAATCCCTTATTGCTACGCAAGTATGGGGGCACGACAGGTCGCTTCACAAGTTTTGTTGAAATGTGTCATTTAGAGAAACAAAAATCGTACCAAGAGAAACAAACGGCTGATTCTGATTCAGAAAATGCTGCAGATCTCAAATAATGCAAAGAGAAAAAAAAAAGGCTTTTCCCTTCAATATTTTTTTGGTTACCCCGTCCCCGTAACCTAAACAACTGTCATTGTATGACAGTGCTCTGAACTTGGTCTTGAGCGTGTACATGGCACAACCCCTTCATAGAAATGCAGCATGCGCTCTATATAAACTCCAAGGGTGTCTCGGGATTTTGTTTGAATTGTGAGGTTCTCATAAACATGAGAGCCCTGGTGCAACAAACAAACCTATGTTGTAATAAAATGCTCACAAAAATACGTACATACTTAAAATATTTAAGAATATTCGCGCATGGCCATTAAGCCACCTCCTTTGTCTTACAATGTAGTGCCGTGGAACCAGCCACCTTGCGCACCCAAAATCACGTACAACTTGCGTCTAAATTTTACCTCCAAATTTTGTGTTATACCTAAAAAATTATGGCACGTGCCAACCTGGGGACCTCGAAATTCGTAAAAAGCAGGGGCAGGAAGGGGCGCCGCGAATTCGTGCGAGTTATTCGCAATGTGGTAGACTGCTCCGACAGCACAACAGTACTGCTGTTACCAGTCTGCGCTTTCATATTGATGCAGATAATACGATGCGCAAATGCATGAGTAATTAAGGGACAAAATGTGTTGCTATTCGCATTAGCCAATATTCCCTTCGAAATCTTCGTACGCTTTTCCGCATGGCACCTCCGTAAAGCGGCAGAAGCTACGCAACAGTTCCGCACACAATATATCGACTTCGCCCCGCCGTGGTGGTCTAGTGGCTAAGGTACTCGGCTGCTGACCCGCAGGTCGCGGGTTCGATTCCCGGCTGCGGCGGCTGCATTTCCGATGGAGGCGGAAATGTTGTAGGCCCGTGTGCTCAGATTTGGGCGCACGTTAAAGAACCCCAGGTGGTCGAAATTTCCGGAGTCCTCCACTACGGCGTCTCTCATAATCATATGGTGGTTTTGGGACGTTAAACCCCACAAATCAATCAATATATTGACTTCATTTTTAATCTAAATTAGGCAGCTTTCAGATACACTTGCAACATACCAAGCCAACCAAAAATTTTAAGTTTGAATGAACTGGAAGGTTGACTTATCGCGAGTGCACTGCACTAGTCGTGAAAGATATACAAGTGTTGGAGTACTACCCAAAACAACCATACGGTTATGAGACGCCGTAGTGGAGGGCTCCGGAAATTTCTACCACCTGGGGTTCTTTAACATGCACCCAAATCTGAGCACACCGGCCTACAGTACTTTCGCCTCCATCGAAAATGCGGCCGCCGCGGCCAGGATTCGATCCCACGACTTGCAGGTCAGCAGCAGAGTGCCTGCCACTAGACCACCACGGCAGGTTTGTCATGAAGGGGTGTTCCTAGTCTTTGTCGCTGCCTATGTTGCACTTTACGCTCCACAAAGCGCCCTCTTCTAGCAATGATTGGGCAAAAGCAGAGCAGCATAGTAAGTGCGAAATCTCTCTGGAAGTATATGAAACCACTTTACAAATGCATCAAGAAATCATATGGGTTCATATTTCTTAAAGTGCAGTTATTGATAATGAACAAACTTTAATTAGCAGGAAGATCCTCCTCCCCTTTCTGGTGCGAAAGGGGAAGGGAGGACCAAGCCTGGACGACTGCCATGATTCCCATGGGCGTTGGCGGCGTCTTCCGCCTGTCGTAGTAAGCGGGCTTGTAATCGAGAGTCATAGCCGAGGAGCGCGGTGTTCCATCCACTCCCGTCTGGGAATTTGCCTCTCATGGGGGCCTACGGGCATGCCCATAAAATGTGGCTCAAGTCCGCCCTGTTGCAAAATTTACACTTAATTGAATGAAGTTCTGACACGCAGCGGTTCTTTGTTACCGGACTAGGAAACGTATGGGTCCAGAGTAGGCACCATGCCACTGCCAGTCTTTTGTTCAAAGACGAATGTGCTGGAGGATAAAATTTTTCTGCTTAGCCTGTAATACTGCATAATATCTCTGCAAGTGTTCATCCCCTCAAATCTCTCATCGTCCTCCCCGCTCAACCAGGGCAATCCAGAGGCTCGGTCTGCAAGTCCTCTGGCTGTCTGGTGTGCAGCCTCATTGCCGGGTAAGGAGGATTGAGTGGATGCCCAGACTAGATCTACTGTTCATTGGTCTTTGCATCCAGCCAATATTCTTAACGCTATTCTGGATATTCGCCCTCGTGCAAGGTTTCTCGCAGCAGTCTGCGAGTCGCTAACAATTAGTGAAGTCGAGGTCGATACTATGGCCATTGCAATAGCTGCTTCCTCCGCCTTTTCTGCAAAGCTCGTTCTCACCGAGCCACTGACCTTACGATTTCTGTTGTAGCCCACTACTGCTATAGTCATGTTGCAGTTCTTGAAAATATTTTATTACCTAAAAAGTGGCCAGTACAAGGCAGATAAACAGTTAAGAATTACAGTCAATACAAGACAGAAAGAATTCTGGATGAGCAAGGAGCTACAATCCCAGGGAAAAAAACAGTTGCATACTGCAGAGACGAGCAGACAGCGGGTGAGCGAACTGGATTGCGCTAGTACATATATATAAAAAAAGATTTACACAATGTACATATCTCCTGTTCAAAAGAACACAAGCTTGCCACGATATAACCCAGGACCAACGCACTCTCCTGATGTGCACGACTGGACAAAATGGTGCAGCCTCCAAGACCAGCCCAGCCAAAGTCAGCACTACTTCTTAAGGCCACTGATTGGATAGCTGCCCTGTTGAACATTAGCACATGCATGCGCAGAGCTAATAAAGGGGAGCCACGATGCACCATACAGCTGCCTAGTGGCGCTGAGACTCTGGGGCCCGCTCTGCGTCTTCATCATCATCGTCAGTGTCATGGTGGTGGGTTATTTGGCTCGGAGCTTCCGGGAAGCGCAGGGGCACCTGCATACAATTTTTTTCACATGAGAATCAACAGGATGGACTAGTTTATTTTACTAGTCACAGTTTGAACAGAAGTGCTTGCCCCCAGCACATCATGTGCTGCCTGACGGTTCTAATAGGAAATAAAAAGTAAACCAGATAGAAAAGTGGGTGAGCTGTCGTCACATGTGCTTGCAGAAAGACTCATCCACAACCAAGGCACGAAGGCTCACCTGTTCCCCCTTGGAGAACTTCCGTACAGGCTGGTCAGCAGGGCTGGGCTTGCCATACATCTCTCCATCCATTGCACTGTCACCATTCATTTGATGGGCTGGGTCCTGCTCATGGTTCACCGTAGACTCGTGCGGCATCTGCACAGGCACCACCAAATCCACTGGTCAACAAAGGCTAACGTCAAACCACTGATACTGCAAATTAATGTGCACAGGAAATTTTCAGAAGCCCTCGACCACAGTAATTCTATACTAAGTGATAAGCAACACAAGGAC